TTGGAAAACTCGAATAATAAAAAATTAAAAATTCAGAAAACTCCAACATTAAAAAATTGTAAAATCCCAAATATTAAAAAATTGGAAAACTCGAATAATAAAAAATTAAAAATTCAGAAAACTCCAACATTAAGAAATTGGTAAACTCGAATATTCAAAAATTAAAAATTCAGAAAACTCCAATATTAAAAAATTGGAAAATCCAAATATTAAAAAATGGGAAATCTCAAATATTCAAAAATTCAAAAACTCAACGTCACCGTATTATTTTCGAAGCGAAGCAATTCTTCCGATTTTCGGAATCGTCAACCTAGCCTCCGCGTCCCGTCACGAGAACTAAGCGAACCGATTCGAATTTCTCTTCGCGCATCGATGTCGATCCTGCCCCCAAAGACGGTGATCTAGCCACGAACCGAGCGAGCTCGCATTCCCGGGAGAAAAAGCACGGAAGGTGTAAAACCCGCGGCTTTGTTCCATGATTTTTTCAAGTTTTCCTTTTCTTTTTTCCCCCTCCGCGGGATCGTTTGAGGAGCATTGTTTTCGCCGAAAGCGAGCCAGTCGTGAATAAAACCGTCGGCTAAGATGTAGATAGCGCGGGATACCCGTTTCTGCTGTCCCCCTGCTTGCCAATTCTTTTTCGTAGGCTCGATTTAAACGCGCCAGCGCGTCCACGTATAAATCCCGTGTCCCAGTTGCTTCCCAGGGGGGAGAGAAAAGGAAAGACGACGAAAATTTCGTCGAAAAGCTATCGGCGAAGCGTCGAAAAATTTTATGGACCCGATACACCATCTGTCGACGAGAGTATCCTCGAGAGGAACGTTTTAACGAGCGAGCGTATAAATCCTGCGTCGAAAAAGGCGGAAGGAAAAAAGGTACAGATGGAGTGCTCGAAGAGCTATCGTCCAACTGATAGTTTCAATATGGACGTCCATTTCCTGCGACTTAAACGAGTAGGCGTTCGGTTAGACGATTTTGATGCTGGTAAAAATTATTCGAATGACTGCACGAATTTTTTCCACGAATTCAAATTATTTCGGGAACATCGTTCCGAAATATTTCGATATTCGACCGTTGAAAAGTTCCGAAAGCTCGTTCCGAAGTACTCAATGTAGCAAGAGGTTAGAAATCAAAAATTACAAATGCAGAGATTCTACCAGATATCAAATTCCTTTAATTTTAATCTATTTCCTTAAAGTTTCCTTAAGAAAGTATAAAAGTATCCAAAAGATTTCCAAATATTCAACGCGAATCTTAAAACACTAATTTAAACTAACATAACCTATATATAGTACAACTGTCAAAGTTTTTACCTGTTTTTCTGCTCATTATTTCTCACATTGTCTCAATCGAATTCTTGAAAGTCACGTTCTGCAATACCCGTCCAGATACGCTCCCAAAATCCAGACACTGAAACAAAAATTGCTACACATCGATACTGGTGTCACAGATCGAAAGTCGTTTCATCGACGATCGACAGTTCCGAAGGAACGACGACCGGCAGAAATTTACAACGTCAACTCTTCACCTCTTTTGCGTGTCTCCGTCGGAAAAACATATCGCAACCGCGGTTGCCGCACCCGTAATCGTGGCCCGACATATAAATAGCGCGATAAAAGCTTGTTTTACTGCGCAAACGATTCCATTTTATCGGTTTTCATGGCGTGTGCCGCTCACGATCAGCGGCTACCAGCGTTCGAGGGAAAAAGAAAACCGCCATGACCGACACTGACACAAAGATAGACACGGTTTGTAAAAAGAGGCATGAAAAACTCGCGAGAGAAGAGATACCAGGGTGTATCGCACGCTAGTGGACACAGAGGCAGTACCCTCTGTTGGAATTCGACGATTCTTTACGGAAGCAGGCCCAGAGTGTCGCCACCTGTCGGCAACTACATTTGTTTATATTACTGGCAGCATCGTTGAGACGCTTTTTTCTTCCACTGTTGCTAGGCCACGGTCACGTAGTCAGTCGCACTCTCGAGATCGTTATGGAAAGACGTTATAACAGAGTTCTCTTTTTGTATATATATATCTTCATATATATATTTTCCACTAATTACTGGATACGCGTGTTTATATCTGTGCACTCGTTTGTTACTTTGAATAAAGTGTGTCGAATTGCAAATAAATTTTTAACATCACCTATTTACAAAACCTTAAAACTGACCTGTCGAAGGACTGCTCCGTCGTAGATTTATAAAACGATTAAATATATCGTGAAGGATAATATTGTGAACAAAATATTGTTTTTCATGACAAAATTGTCGATCATTTGTTATTTTATATGTGTTGATATACTTAAATGATCAGACTAAGATTTTTATGAACTAGATTAGGATTAGGTTATTCTTTATGTCGTCATTATTCGACACTACGCTGATTGGTTAACGCTTAATGGAGATGTATCGTTCAAATTCACGATGAAATGATCTATCAACAAGTTCATCGTTACATTTTTACAAATATCCCAGTAACTAAAGGTGACCGATTACCTTGTCAGAGGAGAAAGTTGTTCGAAATATCGTCTGTTGTAACATATTTAAAAATTTTGTTTAATTCGCGACGTAGTATTCGTTCGACAAGTTCGCTAACCTCAAAACATCGAACTTCGCTGCTCACGTATAAACATACACAAATCTAATCACTTTCGACCGCGAATAAAGCTTTTACACTTTTATTATTCTATTATTCCGCGTTTATGTCTACGAATACATGACAAACGTTGGAACTAAACGTTATTTGGCACTTTTTATATTCGTACGAAATGTCTCGAAATAAAGTTTACGTATGACGCAACCGTAATCACGTCTGCCATGCGTTAGCGGTGTTTAGCCAACAGTGCTGTCACTAGCGATCGAATCACCCTGTAGAAAAACACGGTTCCCCGTCGCTATCAGTCGCAGCAACAGCAACGGGGTGCAAACGGGTGCCAAGCGACATCGGCGCGATGATAAATGAATTTTCGTTGCGATCAGCTCGCACGAGCACGCGCCGGAACGCTTAATGAAATAAGCGTATCGATGCGGGACTGATTGCTGTGGCTAATTCGTCGATAAATTTGCAGCCCCTCTTGTTTGAGTGCGACGAGAGCTGGAACCGAGGGGTGGAAAACGGTCGGACGGAGAACGGCGAAATTAATTTCTGGCTCGATTTTCAAAGCGGTTTAAATTCGCCCCGGCAGCCACTGCGCGTTTCTGCTACGCGTAATCGAATATCGGTCTATCCTCTCGCCGGTGATCCCCTCGTGATCGCTCGCGGGAGGAGCAGGCGCGTACACGGAAGTAATTGTTCGGAGGGGATGTTGGCGAAAACGGAGAATTTTTTTCTCGAGATGTGGGGTCGCTGAGTGGGTGGCCCGGGTCAAGTGAGGCGGAAGTGTTTAGATAGGGTGAATCGAAATTCCTTGGACCGGTCTCGGGGTGACTCTGGGACGAGGTCATGGGGTGGAAAAAGAGAAACGGTTAATATCTCGAAGGGATGAAATAGAGAGAGGTTATTGCTTCCTTTTTACGGGAATTATTGATTAATCCGTCCGCCATCTCGTAAAATTTGAGTACGTCAGAAAAATTTTTTAATTTTCTTATAATTCGATTTTACACGTATATATTTTTATTTTGCTTTAACGAAGTTACATCTGTGGTGGTAATTAACAAAGTATATAATTGATTCTTTAATCGCATGGAAGCAAATTTTATATTTCGAAGAAAAATTATACGAGCGAATCTTAGGAATTTAATACGTTTTCCTCGCAAGCACAGATGTATAGTATAGCGATTATGACAATTGGAGTAAAGCGCGAGTAAATGCGAATATTATGCGCATAATTCCGGATTTTTCTGGCTTTGCCTCGAAGGAAGCGAGTTAAGTGGCGGAGAAATTTAGGAGGAAATAAAAGCAGCGGTTTCGCGGTCAGCTGGAAAAATTTGAATAGCCTCGCGAGGGGTGGCGGAGGAAGGACGTAATGGAATCAGAGTTGGGGGGGGGGGGGGGGCAGTAGTGATTCTTAAACCGAGGAGCCTTTCGCTATGAATTTCCCAACGTTTCCTTCTGAGCGAACAATCGGAGGGTAAATTATTGCTGTCGAAGAGCGAAAACACGAGAGACGTCGAAATCCTGTCATTGTTCCGGCTGTTTTGATCGCTCGCCGCGAAGAAAGGGACACGGTAGTGGAAGAAACGGAAAGCGTGTAGCCTACGGTCTGAAAAGGCTGAAAGGTTTCGTTTGGTTGATTCGTGAAGTGGCTGGTAGAGAGAAGGATGCGTGTAAAACACGCTCCTCGGCGTTCTGACGTGAATAAAGGAGGCGTTGTTGCTGGTCGCGCGCGCGCTTCTAAAGTGGAAGCTATAATGGGGGTTTAAATTATGTGGTGTCTTAGAGGTGCGCTGAACGTGCTCGTTGTACACGTGTCGTATTGTTGAAACGAACAGCTTTATCGCTCCGAGGACAACCACCTCTTTCACCGAGATTGCACCAACTTTTAACGAACCTCCTGTACAATCTCGAAGACACGCTCGATTTTCCTCATTTTTCTATCCACTCGCGTTTCTCTCAACTTCTGCAAACTCGTTTATCGACGCTTCGACTATGCTTTGATGACGCTGGGTTCGTTTGGACTCCGTCATCCGGAGAAAAAATTGTACACTTCCCGATAATTTCCAATAATTCTGAAGACTGGGCATAAGAAAGGCTAGAAGTAGAATTTTTATGTACGCGTCAATGAAGTGTTCAGGAGAGTGACTGGTACAGATTCCTAAATTTCCTAAAAGGCTGTCACATCTCGTTTCCGGATATAACACGAGCCTAGTTCCCTTTTTTGAACCTTCGTCGATAAATTACATCGATTAATTAGTGGAATTTGATAATATTCAGTCGAAGCTGAAAATGCAAAGTCACACTGACCAATGTGACCCACGTGACATTTGAATAAACTCGAAATAGCCTCTTTGTATTCTCACTGTCGAATTCTCGAGACAATCTATCCACGTCGTGCAAGTATCAACACTAGTTGGACTATTATGAATAAAACGAGGAAATTCTATTCTATTTTTGGATTCCAGCAGACAATTACGATACTAAATACAAAATACTAGATTCCCTCTGAACAAAAGCGGAAATACACATAGTGTCCCATTTAAGTTGACAAAGGGATCAGTCTGGCAAACAGGTGACTTAAAAGACACAAGCTGACGCGTGCCTTTTATTATTTTCGTTTCTCTTCCGGCATTTAGCGCCATTGCATTTCGTGATTTAAAGTGCTAAAAGGCGAACTATGATGACGAGTCCAGATCGCACCACACGAAAACGCGAGTTACTTTTGTCCAAACCTATGTATAATTTTGTCGCAATTAAATCAACTCTCAGTGGAATGAATCTTTCTCGATCGAATGACATTGATACTCTGTCCAAACGAAAGAAAAAGAGTAAAACCTCCGGAATCAAGATTCCAAGTTGGGAAAGAAGCATGGACCCAACCCCCAGTCGCGTATCACACGTCCGCGGCACCCCCGACACGTCCACAAGGAAAGGAACCTGTTCCCGAGGAAAAAACGCGGCAGTGGCTCGACTAGCCTACTTCTCCCCTGTTGCACCCTCCAGAGCCGGTGCTCCATCACGCGAGAAACGTCGGAGCGTTTCGTGAATCATCGAGAGAAGCCCAGGAACGAGTCACCGGTGGCCGTGCAAGGAGGTGGAAAAACGAAGGAAAGAAAGAAAGAAAGGAGCCGGAACGGAAGGGGTCGGGGTCAATGAACAGGCCACCAAGTTCCTCGCTGGCCGAAGAGAGGGTAGAGAAGGAGCCACGCGACGCGGAAGAGGAGGACGGACAAAGAGGGAGGAGCGTGGCTCCTGAGGGTTATGTTTGGGTGCTGTCGCGGCACATCCCGTTTTATCACGCCTCGGGTTTACGTTGCCCTAGGTCACGATGTCAAGAGAACGGAAGGATTTTCCCCCTGAGAGCTGCGACGCCGAGGTTCAGATAGAGAGAGTGAGAGAGAGAGAGAGAGTGGTAGAAGAGGAAAGGAGGAAAACACGAAGGAGAAGCCGGCTCTGAGGGATCGCTGACTCGGTTGGCGAGACGCCCGGCTCTCCGATGCTATCAACCTCGACCACAAACACCGATTCACGGCCACTTTGGGGGTTCCCCGGAGTTTCTCTGCCCGCCGACACCTTCCACGCTCTCCTGGACCACTCCACGCGACCCACTTTTTCAACCATGGATTTCCTCCTATCCCGCGACGCTCTACGTGCTTTCCCGATCTTTTTACGACCCGCTGAGCTTCCTTTTCGCGCGCGGGGGTGGAGGACGTCCACGTCGCGTTGTCGACATGGAGTGTCTTTTTCCCGTATTTTCCGAGATGCAGTTCGAGATACGAGGATGGAGATATGTCGATGCTCTGATTCGTTCGGTGCAGGTAGGATTGCGAAATTTAAATGTCGAGAATACTATGGCGGGAATTTTTTTTTTATAGAGGGGGTGAATACATGTTATTGTTTCATCGACAACGATGAATGAATCACCCTCAACTTGTTGCTTCGCCGAAAATAGCGTCCGTGAAAGTTGCTGTAGATTCATTAGCCGGATTTGTGGCGTACGGTCACTGCTCGTTTGCGCGTCACTTTTTTGTCCCTGGATTATTAACTTCGTTTTAAAAGCGCGCGAAAAACGAGCAAGATTGGAAATTTCGGGATCAAAGGGGTTGTGGGGTTGCAGAGAAATTATAAGATTTGAATGTTTGGATTGGTGTAACGTAGATTGACGGGGTTCGTGATTTAATTGGATGTCGGACTGACAACCGTTGTTTTGCTCCGAAATTATTTGAGAACAAAGGGTAAGCGATATTATAACGAATTAAAAATCGTAATCTGATATTAACGAAGACATTCATTTAGGAGATAAAATTGGTTGAAAACTATAACCTCGTTCCAAAATCGTCTAAAATCGACAAAAATACAAAAACATTATAACTAACATAAATTCGTAATTAAATAGAAATGGAGACGAAAATATTCATTTATCGTATAAAATCGGTAGAAAATTATCATCCCTTAATTATCACAAGCAACTTCGCTTCGAAATCTTTCAAAATGAGTGAAAAGACGAAAATATTATAATTAACGTAAATTTGAAATTTGTAATAAATTTAATAAAGAAAGAAATATCTTCTAATAAATATCTTCTCGCATAAAATGGCAGAAAAATAATCGTAGTTCGATTGGATGACGGTGTCAAGGGAAGCGTGCTCGATTTCCACGGCCGAATATCCCGAGGAAATTTCACTTCCTTGGTCATGGGCAATGGGATTACCGTCGTAACTCAGTTAATTGAACTGTGCCGCGTAACAAGGGTAATAACCCGCAAAACGGTTCCGAGCGGGTGTGCAACGCCAGATAAACACGAAATGCACACGAGGCGACACCGAGGTGGCACGCGATACAAATTCTTTTTATCCGATCGCGGGACCAATTTTTCCGAGATCCACGCGAGTCGACGGGAAATTTGACGGGAAATTTTCGACCCCGGCTCGTGATTACCTGGAATATTTTTCTGGCTGGTCTAGCTAATTTTACGCCGCCGGGCCCTCGATAACGCTGCTGCAACTTCGACGAGGATGACGACGGACGCAGATGTACAGGCTGATCTAAAATTGAGAAACGGGTTTATTCGTCGGATAAATCGAGATGGAAAAAATATAGAAGGAAAAATATTTGGAAATCAAATGAGAAGAAAAATTACGATGATCAGTGGAACCTCGATTATCCGAACTGGGAATGAACTAAAGAGAATCGTCAAATTTCGGAAAAAAATTGCTATTTTCGTTTGATATTCGTATCTCATAAAATATTTCCTGCCATAAGATATTATCATTCGAATAATTATATCAGACGTGATAATTTCGTTAAAAACGGATAATTCACATTCGAAATTTTATAGTTAAAAATATAATTAATTCCAAAGAAATCCCAAAATTAGAAAAGAGCGTAGATTTAGTGACGTTGAAATTAAAAATGGCAGGCTTGTTAAACTTCAAACCTAACTTTGAATGAAATAACTATGGTAATAAAAGCTATGGTGCGTGGATCTTTGCAAACCTAGGCCATTGAATTTAAAATTACATATAGTCTTACATCGAATGCATAAATCTTAAATTTTCTGCCACGTAAAACCGGAAGGGCTCACAATACTCGCATTGTGAGTTCTTTCACCGGAAGAACTCGCACAGCTATTTGCCAACGCTCTATTATGCAAAGAATAGTTCCTTAAACTACATCTACACGTCTTTCCAACTGCTATAATTAGTCACGAGTACACCCTATTCACGAGACTCGACGAAAAATATCAGCGGAAGAATCTATAGAAACTCACACACGCGCACAAGGTCGCTAATTAACATTTGAAATTCCTCCAAAGCCATCGATGCCTTCGTTCGTACATCTGTCAACAGTTCCCCCTCTCCTTTCCCGCGATGCTACTCCCACGCATGGAGCGCCGCGTGAACTACTCTGAAACAGCCTATACACGCCGGACAAGAGCAGAAAAGAGAAATTCTCCAGCTGCGCGAATGGTCACGTTGAATATTTCATTCGCACGGTGATAACCGGCCAGGAAACGTTGAACAAGAGAACCGAATGAAACGAAAGGAAAGAAAAAGGAAGGAGAAAAAAAGGAAGATGGAGAAAAGGAGGAAAAAGTGAAATAAAGGGAAGAAATAAAGAACCGTGGCTGGAAAGAAATTCCCGAACTCCGCGAAGAGACATCTTTTATTTAAACGAGCGTGTTCGGCCGACGCGGACTTTGAAAAATCGATCGACGGGAAACGAGACGCGGGGACGCGGGAGAAAGTGAAATAGAATGACAAAGCTCGTCGGTGGTGTACGGACGAGCAAGCTGATCGTTCGTGCTCGTTGCCTTCGTTTTGTACGAAGTTTTATAGTCCGGTTGCGAGTTTGCCAGTTCTTTCCTCCGTCCCCGTCCCGCTGCCCCTCCTTTTTAGCTCCTTCTCCATCTTTTTTCCTCAATCTATTTGCGGCACTCATCGTCCTTCTCGCGCGCTTTCGTTCACCGCGCCGTCTCTCTCTCTCCGTTCCTCGTTCCCTTCCAATGAGCTTTTCCCGTCTTCGTCTGTTCGTTTCTTCGCGAGGAGACCGTCTCGCTCGCGAACCACACGCAGACACACGCGGATCGAAGCTGCGTCTCTCGTTCGCTATGTCTTTCTCCCTCGCACTCGCAGCGAACGGAAAGCGGTAGTGATGGCAGCAACACGGAACTCGAGCAAGCCTGAGTAAATTTCCAATCGTATATAATATTTTTGCACGATTTTGATCGATGGTCCTGTCGTTTGAAGAGGTTTCGAGAGGTTTCGTCGATGGGAAACAATGGGAGATTCGAGAGACGAAGTGCCAGGGATCTTTGAGGTTATGGATCTCTCTGTATGATTTGAGTGGGTAGATAGGGAGACTCGATGGGCATGAATGTTGGACAATGAGGAATCGGGGTGGGAAGAGCCTCGATGTGCAATCGTATTTACCATGGCTTTCGTATTTCGATGCATGTTGCGTGTTCCTTGTCACTATAATTACAACGATCTTACAATTTTTACACGACGAGATTTCAAACGATTCGATCGATCGAAGATTCATCGATACCAACGAATCAAAATCGATACCAACGTTTACTAAAAAATTCCCTAGATAAATACCTATGTAACATACCATTTCCTACATTCATCTGCACTTTTCCTATCATTACTTCCAAGTTGGACTCGAGTCCAGTATCAATCCTTGAATATCCCGAAGACACAGAAAAATCTCGAGATGTCCTGTCGGAGAAACGAACTCGTCTTGTACACAATCCGTAACTTCTCTTCGATCGAACCCTCGAACCCGTCACTGGAAGTTTCTTGAAGCCATCGCTGACCGGGACACGAACGAAAATAAACGAAAGTACATCGTGCAGGTATAGTTCTTCATACGTGGCGACTCCATTGTGTACTCTCCCGCGAATCCTTCGCGTGAAAGCTCCGTACGCGCTAGGAAGCCCGTCCTCGATCGTTTATCATCGCTACGAAAGCATTTTCCCGATCCGCGCATGCGCGCACGCGTAGCTACTCCGACCATCGACGAATTCCGCGCGAAATTCCCGGCGTTCCACGAGGGTTGATTCGTTTCTCCGCGTTGATCTCGCTGACCCCGCGCGTTCAACGGACACGGAAACACATGGAAACGGAAAAGGGACGAATCGTCGAATCGAGTCACGCGACCCGAGGCTCTCTTTGTTCGCGGGACTGATAGCCGTAGAAACAGCGGGAGGTCGAGAAGCAACTTTTGACCATGAGAACGCGGCGGAGGCATGCAGGAAATAATGGTAGACCGCGACGGTGTTCGCGGACCACGCGAAGCTACCTCTCAGGATGATTAATGGCTTTATTACCGCTCTGCTTGGAGCTCTTTATTTAATTGGGTCGCGAACGTAGTGTGTGCGGCTCTCGTAGCGAAGACTTCGTGGAATTATAAGAGAAGAGCCTGCTGCTGAATCGCGTTGGACGTTCGATGTGTTTGAGAGTCGCTGCGCCGTGCATAGTTAAGGAACCATTGCTGACGAATGGCTATTCCCCCACCACGCGCCCGACAGTGACTATCAGTCGTAGGCGAGTTTGGAACCGTTTAAACGTTACCAAGCGTTACACGATCGACTTTCTACTCTCTTTTGTTATCTTTCTCGATCGGGATCGAACGTGAAAATGAATTGGAACGAATTCTTCTTCCTTTTAACGTGGTTGCATTTTTTCTTTGACTTTTGTTTTATCTGGTAATTCGTAAATCGCGAGTAATAAATCGGCAGAACGTTAGGAGGTTTTGGTTCAAGGTGAGACTAAAGTTAGGTTCCATGTTTCTGTTACAGTCACCCGGAGTGATGCCATTCTACGGCGATTCTGGCGCCGGCTTCCGGCCAGCAGCTGGCTTTGGGAATACTGTTTGGCACCAGGGAGTTGCTCCCGTGGGAACAGTTGCGGTTGAAACGTCAGCAGCGCCATGGCCACCTCAGCAGTTCATTCAACAAATTCCTGCTCCGAATCAGCTCGAAGAGCTGAGGTATCATACTCAATACACCACCGCCACGCCATACCATCCACAACCAGGTAATTGAAGAGCGAATCGATTTCGAGAAATTTACGAGTCGTATACGCGTTACTCTTTTTATCTTTCTCCATTTTGCTTTATTTTTTCTACTTCGTTATCCTCAGTCTGATGGGACCAAGGATATTTATTCGTTCGAAATTTTACGAGTCCTTTTCTCTCCATCCGTTCGTGTGAAATAATATTACAGCACTCCAATGCTTGCGAAGCATTCGTACCTTTCGTATTGACTTTGAAATTTGAAAGGAAATAAAATGAAAGGAACCCCGACTGAAAAAAAGGGCGGTGAAATTCGTATTCAGAGTTTCGATAATTTCAACCGACGATTCAGAGTTTCTCGCAAATGAAACGATCGTGGAATGCAAAGTGTGCAACTATGCAGGGTCTTTGTCCCGTGGATTTGCCGTGCGTTTCCGTGGAATCAGCACGCGAATTTTCTGATTACAGTCGCATATCAGCAGCAGACTTTCATTACTACGGATCAGTCGGCATTTCAACGTGCCGGGGCGACAGGACAATACACAATCACGGGGCAACCCTCGCCCTTGCCACCGGTCGCCCCACAAACCGTACCATCGACAGCTCAGAGGCCACTAAACGGTCAATTCATGGATCCCGCTGCTACTGCAACCCAATCAGTTGGTTATGAAAGGCAGGATTACGTCAATGGTTACCAACAACAGGTACAATTAGAAATGAATCGCTTTTAATTAAAAGTGTCTTCGTTCGAATGCCTTGCCGAAAATGAGCGACGGGATATCGAATTTTAGAATTTTTCGAAATTCAGATTGGTTGTCGTGTTTTACGACAATCGTGAATGGGAACTAGAGTCGTTTTTCTAGCTAGAGCGATTTTTAAACGTAATCCTCGCGATTCTCGGTCGTATCAAACCGCGAAGTATTTTGATGATCAACGATTATTCACAAAGTTCTCGATCGATTTTTAAGTTATAGATGGAATGATGCGTTTTTCCAGGACGTGACGATGGCACCGCCGCCTTCAACCACCCCTACGAGTCGTAGTAGTTCCGTACACATGGACAATCAGCAGCAACAACAGGCCTCTCAGCAAGCACCGTCACAGCCACAGCCACCCCCGACGGATACACAGGTGAAGGGATTCGCGACAATTGCAGCCAGCAACGTGTCGGGAAACGAGATGCCTGGGTATCCACTTCAACCGGGCCCACAGAGTTTACACAACTCTAACGGATATCCAGGCTACGTGGAAATGGGTCAGCAACAAGTACAGAACCAATGGCAGCCGCAGCAGCAGGTGGCTCAGCAATCGCCGCACCAACAACAGCACATGCAACGGCAGCATGCGGTAGCTGACGGTGGCCAACGGCACTTATGGTCCGATACCAGTACCAGTGCAAAAATGAACAACGTAAGCGGCAACATGAACTGGTCGGATGGAACGTTGCAGCAGCAGCAGCAGAAATCTCAACAGCAGCAGCAACAGGGTATGCAGAGTAACAACATGAAGGCGCAAGAGACGCAGCAGAGTATGCAGATGCAGGGACAACAGGAACTACCCCGGCCAGCCAGTCACATGAGCTGGGAGAACGGCAGCGTGAAGGAAACCCCGCAGACTCCGCAGTCGTGGACAGACAATACAGACAACAGTCAGCAGCAACAAACTCAGGGAAATTGGTCGCGGCAGAGCCCGAAGCTGAGGGACGCGCAGAATCCAAGATTGACACCGTCTAGTCAACAACAGCAGTCCCAGCATCAAGGCTGGCTGCAGCATTCGCCGAAATTGTCGGACCATCAACAGAATCCGTCTCACCAGAACGCCCGGATGACGCCATCCGGCCAACACAATTGGCAGCAGAGCAGTCCGGAGATGCAGCAGAACTCGGGTCAACAGAATCCGAGGCTGACGCCGTCTAGCCAGCAAATGGCACAACATGGGACGCAGCAGCAGCAGCAACAGCAGCAGCAGTGGTCACAACAGACGAAGATCGAGAAGAGTCCCAGACTTACTCCGTCTAATCAGATGTCCTGGCCAGACACGCCAACTAGTCAACCGAATTGGTCGCCGAATAGTATAAAGAGCGACAGTAGTCAGCAACCTCAACAGCAATGGCCAGATTCGCAGCCTAGTCCAAGAAGAACGCCTGGCCATCAGCCGGGCGCGTGGCAACCTCAGCCACCGACGCAGGAGAACAAAATGGAGAACCAAATGTCTTGGTCGCCGAACTCGGTGGCCGAGAACCAGCCAACTTGGGGCCAACAAACTACCAAACAAGATATGCAGAACTCCGGAGAAAGAGTGCTTTGGCAGCAACAGGCCACGGACACTGGGAAACCGAATGGATTCTCGGATAATCAGGATGCTCAGGAGAGTAACGTATTTGCTCAATCCAATCGCGTGAATCTGAACAGCCGACTGAAATCGATGATCTTGAACAAGCAGCAGCAGCAGCAACAGCAGCAGCAACAGCAGCAACAGCAGCAGTTACAGCATCAGCAGCTTCAACAGCAGCAGTCGCAACAGCAATCTCAACATCAAATGAGCCATCAGGAGCAACATCACAACTTGCATCATCAAATGCAGTCTCAACACGTGAACAGTAACAGCGGGGCCAACGGAGAGTATCACACCGAAGATCGGATACGAGACACGCATGACAATACAGACAAGTTGCAAGAGAAACAGGCGGATCAGTATTTGAACCAGTCGAACATCATCTCCATGGCGCAATCCAACGAATCCCTGACCGGTAATTTTTTATTGCATAGCCACCACCCTCGGGTCGATAGTTTGCCCGATGGTGGTGGCTTATGGGAATGGTCAGGAGGAGGTAACAACGCATTGAACAACGGTAGCATGCTGCCGGAGAGCGGGATGACGGTCATCGAAAGCTTCATAAAGTTTGGTTCAGAGGATAAGACCGTGCTGGAGAAACCGTACGAGAAGCAACAAGCGCACTATCACCAGCAGTCGCAACAGCAGCACGACCATCGACAGTTATGGAAGGAAGGAAGTAAGAGCCACGACAATCAGAACATCGACGATAAATCATTTCAGAGGAGATTGTGTATAGACCAACAGACCAACGAGAGGACGTACGATCCTTGCGGGAACAGCGCGAATAACGATAAGAACGAGATGAGAAACAACGTTGCTTTTCCAGAGACGCCTCAGGTACCATTGGTGAACGACAACGATGTATCCAACTATCCAGAAAGCAGCGAAAAGATAGCGTCCACGGAGCAGGCCAACAGCTCCAACTGCGATTCCTCTCAGAACATCAAGCAGGAGAACATGACCGAGTACGGCTGCTCCAGCTCCGACTGCGTTCCATCGCCAGCGGCTTCGTC